TGTACTTTATTGCAATGAATGGGACAAGATCATAGCTGAAGAGCATGCAGGCCAGTCAATATCCATTAAAAAAGTGATTATATAGTATATACGCATAGATGTATAACTTGTTTAGGTAACCTGGGTAAAACTGGTGACACGATGCTCTGCCTCGCTAAAAGGCACCAGAGCTGCCCGCTTGACTGATCCAGCTTGGTTCTACTCCTGTGAGAAGTAAGAATGGCAGGAAATGAAGTTCACAACACAGCACCTCTGTTTTTTTTGCACTGAATACTGATTAAAGTAAAATACACATTATTCAGGTGTCTGCAACAGCATTAGGAGATCGCATATGTTTCAAGGCATTTAAAAATGTCTTCTAACTTGATATATCTGTGTGTAATTACTAGCCTAGAAGTTACACTTAGCATAAATTAGTTATTACACAGCTATTATTATTATTGTAACTGATTATTACACAGCTACACATGCACTACAAAATTTTCTATATAAACCATCCCTGCAGTACTTAAGGACCTAAAAAGGAAAAATTATTTTTATAGTTTCTATACTGGATAGCACTAATGCAGCTCAGGTCCACGGACCTTTACATACAGGACAACAGACTCAGCACAGTGGCCCAAGATATGTTAGTGGCCTTACTTCCATGATAAAATTTTATTTAGGATTTATTCTCTAATTCCCTCATTACGTTGTTTTTCCCCACTACCATTCTTATGGACGCAATATTTTCCTAATTAACACTATTTTAGGTTTTGGTCAATTTCCTAGAAAATTCCTTATAAATTCACACTTACTAGCATGTACCAGTATATATTGTTTCTAGAAAGGCATAATCTAGATAACATTTCCATCAAAATAAAGGAAAAGATGTATGTTATCCACTAAATATTAATAACTTAATTAAAACTTGCTAATAAGTTATAATTACTTCGTAGAAATTCAGCTTATTGCCCTATACCACAGTGAATAGGTGTATGCATGTGTATACAAAGAGAAAAGCAAAAGCACACAGACACACACATTAGCATCTGGCTATCTTGTGCAGAATGTTCTCACAGTACATGGATGCCTAAGCTGCCTTTCATTTGGAATACTGCTAATTGAACACGGTTTGGTGGTAGTTTCTGACTTCAGTTCTTTCAATTTGTAGTATAAGCTATGAAGTAACTGGCAGATCAACACTCAGTAGCAGCAGAATCATATAAATGAGAAAACATGAGAGGGCAGAAATGCAAGGCACTTTATGGCATGACAAATAAGAGGAGGCCTTGAACAAAAAAGCCATTTGCAGTAATTTTTTTTAATTTAAAAAGTTCTTTCTTTTGCTTTGGATCATTTTCATGACAAGACTGTTGGTCTTATGAATAATAAGTCATCAGTCTTCTCTATATAAAAACCACAGAGGATAACATCAGTCAAGTAAGTGAAGAGTAGGAACTAGGATTAAGATATGCACTTTTGTGATTAAAATCTATTTGAAATTTAGGCACTTAAATAAGAAATATGCTTGCAGTGTCTTTGCTTAACCCTCTCTTGAGGGTGCCTGAAATTTGTACACATTTCCCTTCAAGTTTTCACCTTCAAATTCTGCAAGAGTAAGAAATTTTGGTCTTGAATATGCTTAAGAATACTTTCAGGCTTGACCAGTCAAAACTGCTTGGCACTAGCTCATTCCTGACAACGCAATTTCTTTGTCTTATCACCTGATCAGTTTGCAGTTACTGAACTATGATTAATACACACATTTACAAGATTAAGTGCCTCCAAAAATGCAATAAGGACACTGTTTTCTTTTAAATAACTGTATCTGGAGGAGGAAGCCTTTCTTTTATGGTGGAAGCTTAACGATTGGAGCTTATGCCTCAAACGTGGTATAATCCACTTAAGAGTTTTCCCTATAGGAATTCAGTTTTTTTTTCACCTTGTAGAATAACATAATTGGGACCCTTCCAATGGTAAAAAGAAATATTTGGCTAATAAAGATAGTCAGAAGTTATACCATCCCGTTACACGATATAGGAATAGATGCACCATTGTCACTGTGATCATACTCAGTCCTGCTCACCATCAACCTATAGGTTTGAGTAAGGTGCATCCTCCATCTCTTCTACTGACATAATGCTCTTGTGTAGTAAATAGTTAAAGATTGTGCAGGCTATAAAAAGAAGCAAAAAAGTAAGAATGCTGGCTATCAGGGAATTCATATGTGAATTCAGGTTCATGTGCCCTATTTCAAGGCAATTTCTGCATTTTAGCCACTGACTATTGACTAATTATATTAAAACAATAATACAATAAATATATAATACAATAAATATAATAAAAATATTAAAAAATTGCATTAAAAATTATAAACGGATTTTGTAGCAGGGAAACATTTCATTCTCAAAACAGATGCCTAAGTCATTAGGCACTACCAAAAGTCATGTTCTTTCTTGCTACCACTGTTCAGTGAATCACAAATTATTTTCTGCACAATTGTAGCTTCAGCACAAGAAATGGAGAATCCTGCACTAGTACATAAGTCTTGTGATTACACATAAAAACAGACTTCAGCAGCTATATAATCTAATAATCACTAATGAAAATTTTTAATTACTTCTTTCTAAGCAATGTTAGATATATAGTATTTAAATGAGTAGATCCAATTACACTTCCAAATTACTTTTTGCAGAGAAGTTGCCAATTAAAAATTATCAGAACTATCATTTATTTTGATATAACTTCAGTTAATATGTACATAACTTCATAACTTTTGAAAAAGAACAACTACAGGAAAAGTATACAGGACCATTTAAAACATGGTTTACTGCTACCACGAGTAGTGGTGGTATCAGAACCAGTAATTATCAAAATTAATCTGATACAGGTGGAAGCACCAAAGAAGAAGTGAACAGAGTTTTCCTGAGTGCATCCTTCTCATCATACTGGGACTTCACGTCCAACATCCAAGATTGTATCTGCATTAGAAGATTTTCTTTTAGTGACATTCATATAGTAGTATAATCTGAAGCATCATTACCAGTTACAATATCTGCAGAATAAACTAACAGTATTTTCTTCACACTTTCCAATTGAGCCATTTGGAATGTTTTATGAAAAATTATAGGTTTAGGTTTACAGCACCCTTGAAACAGAAAGTACTATACTAAATTTAGAGGCAAATATGGAATGACAGATAGGTATTACTCCAGCAAGATAGCAATAAATATTTTGTGATGAAGGAATATGAAGTATTCTGTTTCCTAGTACTGAACTTTAAGTCAAGACACCTTTTTCTCCAGCTTGAGATACTTTATTCTCCAATTTAAGATACCTCATTGCCCAACTTTCAGTACATCCTCTGGCTATCAGTAGTTGCTAAATAGGGGGAAGGCTGAAAATGATGGATTTGAACATGGTTTGCAGGAAAAAAGAAGAAACCCAGAAGGACCATACTCATACCAAGAAACTATGTGATCTACACAAAGAAAAATAACCTGTGCCATTCCTGCCGTATGCAACCATTATGGATGATCGCATTGATAGGTGGAATTTGCTGAGATTAGCAGTAGAATTTGCTGCTCCTTTGGCAGCAGTAAGTTCTGAAACTGAACAATGGGACAATAGAACAACAGCAGATCAATGGAAAGACAGGACAGTGCAGTAGCCCTATGTGGTATAAAATTGCCTGAAGAAGATTCTTTTCTTATCTTGTATACAAAAATAGAATAGAATCAACAAAAATGCTACATTTAGACCAATAAACTTTCATATAATCACCTTCTTCATTACATACAACAATTAAAAGTTAAACTACAGTAACTTCTGCTTTGGTTTACACTCAAATCATGGTTTTGAAGAGTAAGATAAATACTAACACAAACATTCTCAAAAATAAATATTTTTAAAAGAATAATAAAGACATGAAAGACATTAAAGGAACAAGAAAATATGACTGAGTATTGCAGTCTGTACAAAAAAAAAGGATTTCAAGGTGAGAATTGCTAGAATCTTATCCATACTTATACCTCAAGCATGAGGAAATCACTTACAAAAGCCTTTATGTTAGTTTATGTCTACACTGGAGCATGTAATAGTGCTTAAAAATGCCCATCCTATTGCTGAACGAACTCACATTGGTACTAAGCAGACCATAGATTTACTGCACTTGAGGGGATATGCCTCCACCATGTACAATTGTGCAGGACAGAGCATTGGGTTAAGATGATAATAATGGCTTCGGCATCCATCCACTGTAACTCACTGAGTGCTAGCTTGGATTTGCCCATTTGGCACCACATTGAGCCAGAAAGAGGTACATTCTGTTACTGTCACAATAGGTAGCAGATTCAAGTATCTTAAAGCTTTGAAAATTACAATGGATCACCATATGAAAGGATCTAACACTGAGAAATAAAGCTTCATAACTTTTTTACCATAAAGCCATTACTTCACTTCTTCAGTGGTTCTGCTACTATCAAATGGATTATTAGTGATTTATACGAAATCATTTAGTGATGCTGGTCCAGTATTCAAATGTACTTATGATGTATCTAGATGCATTTTGACTAGATCAAAAAGGTTAAAAACATCAGAATGAACTATTAATTTGACAGAAGGCACTCCAGAAAGCAGACAAAAGAGTAAATAAACTGCACTGATGAAGTAAGCATGCAGAAACTTGCACAACCCACACACATTTTGTAAGACTTCTGGTATCCAGGGCTATTAAATTGGTTCCTTTTCTTCTTAATGATTTAACCAAATAAAATAGGGAAAAAAAAAGTATGGATTTTCTAAAAAATTATCTCATGCATCTTCATTATCACAGTAAATGCAATACTGTACTACCATCTCATTCAGTTTTCACAATCTTACATCGATTTACCCTAAATATCATTACAAGCTTGTATACGTTGTTATACAGGAATTCAATAGAGATTTGAATTCAACAATACTAAGCTTAGGAAATAAAGAAAAGAATCAGCATATTTTAGATGCAGAAATAGTCTTACCTCTTTGCTTTCTTCCAGGTCTGACTCGCTGCTGAACTCCTCTGTATTTAAATTTTCAAAATCTGATTCCCCGACAGCAATGGGCACTGTCACAGTGAGACTTGGGTTGTTTATGAATGACATGTAATCACTTTCATCAACAACATATTTTTCCACGCTGCTGCCTATGCCACTGGTAGTTCCATTCCCTTCTTTAAGATAGGCAAGGTTTTTACCTATTTCTACTATTGTGTGGTTGGAAATACAGCTGTCTTTCTTGTTGTTTAGGTCTTCAAGAGGCTTGATTTCATCTAAAACTTTCTGCTTTCTAACAAAGGCTTTTTGGATGAATTCACGCACTTTTCTCTTCACATAATCTATGCCTTTCTGTATCCTTGCCACAGCAATCTGTAGATTGTTCATTTCATTATCATCATCTGTAGCAGCAAGGTTGTCTGAACTAAATGAGCTCAGCAGCAAGGCCAAAAAGAGGTTGAGTACCTACAAAACAGTAAGGAGAAAACATAATGTATCTCTTATTCTTAGGTCACAAAAGTAATTCCACTATGGATTGTTTAATAGGACATGTTTTTTATTTTACAGCTAGTACTTTATTTCAATCCATCTTTCTGCTACAGTTTCCAGTCTGTAATCCCTGTTCCCCATATTTCATTGTAAGTTGCCAAAAAAATTTTTAGCTTGACTAATATATGTGAAAATCTGAGCTGTTCCTTGACTTTCTCCACCACACTGCAAGCAGTGCAGGTCTGCCCCTCAAAATGGAGAATGACGTTAAGGAAGCAGGATAAAACACTATGTAGTAATTTATGGAAGCTACATCTGCAGTAGTGTTCACAGGTGAGGGGAATACAGGCAGACTCCAGTTCAAGAGTACGTAGTTTCAGTGTCTCTAATTCAGAATATAATAAACTTCTGTATTTGCCAAAAATATGTTAGTCTATTTTTGTTTTGGGCAAGTGAACTAGGGAAGAGATAAAGAGTCCACAGATGTGATACACCTCAATTTTAGGAAACTATTTCAGACTTTCTTGCATGACATTTTGCAAACATACAAGAGAAATTTGGACTGCATGTAATTATGACAGACTATATGCAAAACTGATTAATCATAATATTTAAATTATACTTCTCAATTCTTCCTGTTCAAAATTGCCACAGGAGTGTCACATCAGTCCAGTTAAACTTTGTATGTACGTCTGAATAAGCATATTTACAAAATTTGTGGATGATACTAAAAAGAGAAGGGGTGCTAGCACTCAACAAGAATAAACTGTAATTAAGCATAAGCATGTAAATAGATTAAATGATTCAAAATTAATATGGCATTTAATTCTGAAGCACTGGAGTGGAAATGTTGGCTGTAAAAAATGAAAACTATGTATAGAGAAGGTGTGATAACTGGCAAGGTGGAAGCACTGAAGAAAAGGGCATATAGGCTGCTGGTAGAGAAATGTCATGTGTCATTTGGGGATGTACCATGAGGAATGTTGGGTGTAAGGCTTGAAAGTATAATTATTCCACATTATCCGATACTTGTATCTCTATCTAATATGCTGCTTGAGAGGAATTCAGAGGCCAGCAGCAAAAATGGTAAGTAGTTTAGAAATCAGCACCTATGAAAAAAAATTGAACAGCTGGACAAAGTATTGTTTCAAAAAGAAAAGACTGACAGTGGAAACTTTCAGACTTTAAGAGTTATAAATATTGTCATGAAGACCAACTGGTTTTGATCCCTATTGAGACCAGTTTAATTGGCTGTAACAGGTGATTGAAGTTGGTTTTTTGAAAGGCATTTTTAACTGTAAGCATAATTCAGCGCTGATCTTAAAGAAGTCATAAACTTACTGAAGAATTAAAAGAAAAGATAGACAAACATTTTTCATAAATGATCAAGGCTGTTTGGGTTCAGCCTGGAGAAGACTTTGGAGAGACCTGATATCAGCCTTCCAATACCTAAAGGGAGCCTAGAAGAAAGCTGGACAGGGACTTTTTACAAGGGCGTGTAGGAATAGCATAAGGGGTAATGGTTTTAAACTGATAAAAGATAGATTTAGATTAGATATAAGGCAGAAATTCTTCACTGTGAGCATGGCAAGACTGGAGCAGGTTGCCCCGAGAAGTTGTGGCTACTCCTTCCCTGGCAGTGTTGAAAACAGGTTGGATGGGGCTGTGAGCAACCTGGTCTAGTGGAAGGTCTCCTTGCCTGTTGCGGGGGGTTGGAACTATATGATCTTTATGGACCTTTCCAACCCAAATCATTCTATGATTCTAAGATTTGAACCTGGTTTAGTGAAAGGGCAAATGAATTAAATGATTTCCTGAAGTCCTTTTCCAGTCTTCATCTCTGATTTCTAAATAATGAAAAACAGGAAATAAATTCTAATACTTCTAAAAAAAATCCAATGATTACATACCACAAGGTTTCCAATCACCATGACCATCATGAAGACAGTAAGGCACATAGTTTGGCCTGCAACCTCCATGCAGTCCCACATTGTTTCTATCCATTCTCCACACAGCACTCGGAATACAATCAGGAAAGAGTGGAAAAAGTCATGCATGTGCCAGCGTGGAAGTTCACAGTCACTGGAGATCTTGCAGACACATTCCTTGTAGCTTTTCCCAAACAGCTGCATCCCAACCACAGCGAAAATGAACACAATGATGGCCAGCACCAGGGTCAGGTTCCCCAGAGCCCCCACTGAGTTGCCAATAATCTTAATCAGCATATTTAGAGTTGGCCAAGATTTTGCCAATTTGAAAACTCGCAACTGAAAAACAGAAGAAAAGTATACAGTTAATCATGTTACTAACTGTAATGAAATCATTGCCATAAATTTCATATTTCAGTTATCCTGTGTATAAATCATGTCTCATGTATCTTTAGAAACTTCAGTTACAATATTTGCTTCTAGTTTTTTTGTATAATACTACACAGCAGCAGTCTTAAGAAATCAAAAATATCATCTGTATGCTCATTTCAATTATATTGCAATTATCACAAAGTCTGTTATTCAGACTTTGCCTCCTTTGGTGACTGTAGATATCTATAAACGAGTTGTACTTGTTGGACAAGTTGGACAAAACAGTCTTTCTCCTTTAGTTAACTCTAAAAGAATGTAACTAAAAATAAACCAGCACACATGAAATGTGGTCAGTTTAACAGGATTGTAAGTGTATAGACACTTTCAGATCTCTTTCATCTTCAGTGGCAGAGAGATAGAAGAAATAGTTTTCCTAGGAAGAGACACAAGCTAGAGTTGTTAATGACAGGCACAGAAGTTACTTACAAGTATCTAACAATGTATTTTCTGTCATTTAATATAAGCAAACAAAAGTGTCTGAAAAAAGTTTGTCATACACCGCTGAGAAAACCAAAGGAAAGCATTATATTAAACAAGTCAAAACTGACAAAAATGAAATTGTTTGGAAAGATACGTTAAGTGTTCAGACAACTGAAAGAGGAGAATATAAAAGGAATCTAAATTTAAATATTATTTCATGGGATGACATGTAAATAAAATGTATATGGGCAAAGTTAAAAAGAAAATTCAATTACTGAGGGAGAATTCAATCCAGACAGATATTAGACTTCAGGCAAAATACAATATAATGATATGTAGAGAACCAGCAAATGGGTGAATTTAAATGTTCTCTTTTTTTAAAGGGGGCTTATGTAACTTTAAATGAAAGTCAAATGTGTTCTGCTTTATTTAGGCAAAAGTTGAGCTTGATGAATAGGAACTCTAACTTCTTGTCTCTTACTCTGTAGGTCTTCTCAGAAGAGAACGTGAACATCAACTTGAATGCTAGCCTAGTCTTCAGCAAGACCAAAGTTTTTCAAGTTCCTATTCATGACAGAGATATTTCATACAGACAGAGATAACATAGTGACTTCTGAACAGAAAAGCTGTTAGACAGATGGTGCCTTGCAGAGGATGATAAGGAGAAGGCTGAGAGTGATGAAAAATCTTTACCCAAAGAAAAATCTTAACACTACTCTCTTCTAAAACTAACCATGTAAGCCAACTGGTAATGGAAGTCTATCAGATAAAACTGTCAATAAACTTTTATTAGCTAATCCGTTATTTACTAAGCAATTTAAAAATTTTCAGTCACAGTTAGTGGGGGCCCATGGCTCTTGCATTTTTCATTCCCTCATCTAATGAGAAAAAGACTCTGAGATACTACTATTAAATAAAGATAACCCTTAAAGCACACTCACTGTAAGAACAGAACTGATGCTGACAATGTCTTGAAGAAGCAACAGATGTTACTAAGATAATGTGTAAAACAATATTAATAGATACATGCCATTTAGTGAGTATGAAGTTTTGTAAGTTCTTCTGAAATAATCTTCTGTCTTAAGCAAACATATAATGTACAAACTAAAAATGCACAACATACATGCAGAAATACAAAAACACAACAGATCAACATAGGTTAGTATATTTACCAATCTGAATGATCGAAGGACAGATAATCCTTCTACATTTGCAAGGCCAAGCTCCATTAAACTAAGACTCACAATAAAACCATCAAAAATATTCCAGCCCTCTTGGAAATAATAATAAGGATCCATGGCAATTATCTTGAGAAACATTTCTGCTGTGAAGATTCCAGTAAACACCTGTAAGCAAAACACAGTTTCTTACTCCAGTTTAATAAGAAAATATTACCCCCTCCCCCAGATTAATAATATCAACTTTCTGGTAAGTTATATCTCCAGCAAGCAATCCATGGTAAATCTTAATAGCTTCTTTATGTTGACATACATTGGGGTTAAAAATTAAATTCAGATTTGAAGCTTACATATGCATCACAATTTTTGGTTTCCAAAGGAAAAGAGGTAACTGGGAAAATACAGTTTTTATCTAGCCTGCTAATATGCATGTATTAATACTGAATCTCTTCTAATTTTAATGTTTAGTTTTTCCTCCTTAGATCTCATCTTTGCCCTTGGGACATCTTTTTGCTTCTAGGAACAAAGATATGTTTATGAGAGGGACAATTATTTTATTAAGAAAAAATATTTTACTGAAAGTTGAGCAGAACTATTTTTCTTCAGGATGACCTGCACTGTCATGCCATTTCACCATTTCCTGTGGAGCTGCCATGCTTACAAGGACTTTCCCCTCTGCAATTGCCTGAACACCCAGAACCTTATGAGGTGCTAGTGAGGAGCAGAACAGATGTGAGAATGGAACTGAAAGTTCTTATGATTTGAAAGTATCCAAGAAAAAAAAAAAACCCACAAAAGATAAATTCCTTTAAAGTGCCTCAATGACAGAAGCTGAAGGTTTTAAAAATCAAAATGTATGTTGACTTAATAAATCTTTCTACCTTTTGCTCTATAAAGCAAGAGTGGCAATACCCACAAATGTCAACAAAGTGGGATTCAGTACAGCTTAAATATAAATTCAACGACCCCAAGCCTATAAAGATCTACTCAACATTTTCTTTAAATATAGGTACATAAGTCAGAGAAGATTTAAGAAAAATGCATTTTATATACATGTCACACCATAAAAGACTTACAAGGTTTCCTACTGAAAGCACACCACTAAATTGTTCTGTCATTGGATAGTGCTCCATTGCCATGAACAGGGTGTTTAGGACAATGCAGATAGTAATAGCCAGATCAACAAATGGGTCCATCACAATCAAATTTACAATATGTTTGACTTTCAGCCAGGGAGTACAGCAGTCCCAAATCAAGCAAGTGTTAGCAAATTTATACCAGCACGGTGGGCATTTCTGTCTGGATTCTTCCAATTCTAGAGAGAAAAGAAAAATAAGAAAAGAAAATAAGATTTTAAACATATTTCTCTATTCCAGTATAACCTGGGATTTTTCTTTGAGGACTAAATGCTGTTTTCCAAGGTATTATTGATAAACCATGTTGATATTATAGATCTTTTGAAACAAAGGCTACTGTCAAAATAAATTACAATTAAAAGCAATCTGCCCCACTATGATTTAAATTCTATGTAAAAAGAATACTAAATATTCATACATAAATAAAATAGCTATTCACAAGAAAATGCTACACAGGATGCAAAATAGAAATTTGTCTTAAAAATGTGGCATACAGGCTGGGCAATGAGTAGACTGAGAGCAGCCCTGTGGAGAAAGACCTGGGAGTATTGATGGACAAAAAACTGAATATGATCTGGCAGTGTGCACTTGCAGCCCTGAAAGTCAATCTCATTCTGGGCTGCATCAAAAGAAGCTAGCAGGTTGAGGGAGGTGAGTCTTTCTCTCTACTCTGCTCTGGTGAGACCCCATCTGGAATACTGCATTCAGCTTTTGGGTCCCCTCCATAGGAAAGACTTGTTAGAGCAGGTCCAGAGGAGGGCCATGATCAGAGGGCCAGAGCACCTCTATTATGAAGACACGCTGAGAGAGTTGGGCATGTTCAGCCTGGAGAAGAGAAAGCTCTGGGGAGACCTTGGAGCTGCCTTCCAGTACTTAAAGGGGGACTGTAGAGAAGATAGCGAGGAACTTTTTATCAGGTATTACAGGGATAGTATGAGAGGTAACAATTTTAAACTGAAAGAAGGTAGATTTGGATTAGATATAAGGAAGAAATTCTTTATGCTGAGGTTGGTGAGACACTGGAAACCGTTGCTCAGAGAAGTTGTGGATGCCCCAACCCTGGCAGTGGTCAAGGCCAGGCTGGATGTGGCCTGGGGCAACCTGAGCTAGTGGAAAGTGTTCCTGGCTGTGGAAGGGGGGTTGGAGCTAAATGATCTAGTTGGTCCATTCCAACCAAAAACTTTGTATGATTTTATACCTAGAATGAATATTTAAAAGTTTCCTCCTTAAAGATAAACAGTCAGAACAAACCTGAACTCAGACAACTATTTAAACAGCATTATGGTCCACATGTGCAAAACTTCTGATTATTACCTTCCTACTTGTTATTTTTGGCATAGTCATTGAAGCCTCAAAGTAACGTTTGCCGTTTCTTACAACTAGTTGCTTAATTCCATAATTCAAATTCATTGTGTTTACCCTTACAGAAAGAACAATGTGATCCTTCCTTTGTGAAACAGCATGTCTGTTCAACTGGCAGAAGGGGATTGTTCCACTGCAAGAAGCACAGCCATTTCAGTAATCTAAAAGGAGGTTTTTCATCAAAACATAACTTATCTAGAGAAACTGTGTGGAATGACTGCTGTTTCCTCCTCAAACCTGTTAGTACTTTGAAAGCTTGTCTGCTTCTCCAAACATATAGGTCAGCCTTTGAAAAAAAAAAAAAATACTAGTGTACAAATCTCTGTGTACAAATCTCATTTGCCTGTACCTTTTAGGCTTAAACAGCTGTCATAAAATGCCACAGCTACTTAATGTATCAGATATTTTATAGCATTTCATGGTATTGTCATACAAAAATTCTGTGTTACGTACCTTCCATTGTGTTTGTAAGCATGCTGGCTATACTCATGGCTCTTTGCCTTGCACTAGGATCTGTTAAGTAGTCCATAGGAACATGATAAGAACTAGACCGTCTCTTTCTTAAATCAGTTTCTGTAGTAGTGCCCTGAAAATAAAACACTGATAAAATAGCCTGATAAAATAATACTGTAAATTATTATAGAAATACAATATTTTAAAACACTGCTTTTCTGCACCATGCTCCATTTATGTCACGGTTTTGCAGTAACCTAATGTATGCCTAACTTTATATATAGCAAATGGTGGACACATCGGACGTATTGCTTTTGTGCTTAAAGAATATGTTTTCAAGTATTTTGCTGAAACTGGGCTGAGACATTAAAAAAGATTTTAGACTATAAAAAGTTCCACAATGCTTGTCAATGAGGTCTGCCATAAATATCCTTCTAATTAGGCAGTCTTTTTCTAAACACAGAAAAGTACAGCCCACACAGCTAGCAGTAAAAGCACAAAGAGTATTTTCTTAAGGTAACTCTTAATTTAGAATAACTTATCAATTTCCTAGCACATGCTTTCAAACAAAAGAAAGAAAATATTTAATAATGTGGTCAGTGTGAAGTTGAATGCTCATTTAATATATTCCATTAAGTATACAGAATTATTTTTTATATTTTTTTCATTTTGATATCCTGATACACAAATACAGAACCTTCCAGTTAAGTCTTCAGTTAGCACAATGACTCAATGGGTGTAATGTAAAATTTATGCAACGGTTTACTATGCTATTCTGTTAATTCCCAGTAAATTAGCATATATTTTCACATACTTAGGTAATGAGAGCTAGGCAACTTCAGTTTTTACTTTAGCTTATAACTGGAATATATGAAAGGATCATTCACAGCTTGGCCAGGATGGGAATCATTTCCAAGTAACTACATTTTTTTTAAAACAGTGGCTGATAATACAGGGAGAAGACATCATGCCTAAACTATTGCAGACTTCCTTACATTGCTAGCAGTGGCTGCTTTATCAATCATCACCTCTGGCAGAAGCTGTCCAGTAGGTGACGTCAAAGCTGGTGGCCCACCGACTAAAGAAACTACTCCATTGCAATCCACAGTGCTGTGCATCTTCCCATTTGCTGGAAGTGGAGCTACTGTCCTGGATGACCTGCTGGCCTGACTAATGTTACTGTTGCGTCGTTCACCATGTTTATGAGGAACAAAGAGAGAATCTCTTCTGCTCTCATTGTCTTCGAAAGTGCTGTGCTCATCATCTGCAAAGTCATTTTCTGATCCTACATCCTTCGCTCGACCTCTGAAGCTGAAAAGACTTGTTCTGCTGTTGCGCCTTGGAGAAAACAGGGAGCCTCGAATGCTCAGCAAAGACTGCAGGTAAATAAAAACAATGATTATCCAATGAAAATCCTTTCAAATATAATGTTTTCATACAGAGGAAAAAAACACAGTGTTAATATGTCTTAAAGGATAAGGTTATCTACAAAGAAATGAACTGGCACATCCCCCCCAAATACACTCCCTTTTGGGTAGTAAACAAAGAGCACATAAGTGACAGACAAAGACTAGTTATTTTACTACTTTGGATATATGAAATCAATTGGTTTAATTAGAGTAAAAGAAACTGCTTGACAGAATTGTTTCCTCTGCCATTCTGCTTGTTTATTACCAACTGTTCATAAACTGAGGAAGCAAATCTAGACACTGTTTACCTCAGGTTAGCATTAGTCTGTCAGGCTGAGTAAATAAAATTTTAGGCAAAGTTCCCATGGCTCAGTCTGCACACAGTGGTAGCTCTCAAATAGTGCCTAATTTTAAAAACCATATTTTTTCAGATACTAGTCAAGTAGGCCACAATAAGGTTTTATTTCATTTTTAAAGTTTCAGCTATTCTGAATATGAAAAGTTACGCTTGTAATTTTATAATTTTTTATGCAGTCTCACTAATCATCAGTTTACTCACATAAGTAAATGTTCTGTTATGAAAGGATCTTTTCAGGATAAGAGTCAAAATAATGCTCTAAGATTGCATATAATTATAGCTGTTCTTAACTTTAATTCAAGTGATCCTCTTGATTTGATTATCACCTGATTTCAACCAAGACCTCTATGAACAGCAGAGATGATACATAACAAAGCAGTGTCTTTGTTTCTCTTCTGCAACTTATCTTTATGGACCTGAACCCCATTGTTCTAGGTACTGCAAAATGGAGAACAAAAAGGCACTGCAAAGAATTTATCATCTAAGTGTAACACAACAGATGGATACAAAAAGAGAGGGAATACAAGGAGGCAAAATTGATGGATATGATAAACAGTGGTCTTAGCTCACCTGAAGTCACTTCCCTGTCAAGCTTTCTGTAGGCAGCATGGTAAAAGAGAGTTTTAAAGAGGGATTTGAGGAAAGCAATGAAGTGTTCTGTGGAAACTCATGGGAGCTTCTTCCAAGCATGAGGGGCAGCATAACAGAAAGAGCTCAAAGAAACTAGCTTGAAAATTTAACAGGAGGTTATGGATGGGTCAGTCAAAGCTGGGACTTGTTTACTCTAAGTAGACAAGATGAGTTGGGAGGAATTTTAGGCACAGTATGTTTTATGGTATTAAAAAATATCTTTAGGTAGATATGTTTACTAGCAGATTAGGTAAAGCAATGAGATAGGTTAGTGCGCCTTGCAACCACATTCTTGATGAATACAGCAGTAACTGTGACATGGAAAGAGGTCCAGGTTAAAAAATGATTCACAGTTGTGGGTCCAAAGTAGAGTAAAAAAAAAAATAAATAAAAAAATAGGGGGAGAGAAGGGAATGAGCAAAAGGCCTTGTGGAAATCCCTTAGAAAACTGCCAAAGGGAAAAAAGAATCTTCTAAAGCACAACTAAATCAGGAGAATTGATAGGAAATGAAACTATGAATGTTAGGAAGAGTAAGTTTTCAAGAGAACATAACAGTTCAAGGACACTGAAGGCAAATGAAATGTCAAGGAAAAAGTCAAAGATGAGATATAAACCTGAGTTTTGTCTAGGAAAAGGTTATTAAGAACTGGTGAGTGGTATTTTTGATTAGCAGCTAGAATCTAGAGTGAAAAGTTGAGAGTTGTGAAAAGCACTAGAGTTGGGAAAACAGAGGGGAAGTGATTGCTAGACTGTCATAGTAAACAGCTGCAAATAAACTTGGAGATGAAAAGGTAAAAGAGAAGCAAGTTGTATGAGGAATGCTTCATTTCTTACACGATAGATGTATTGAGCTGCAGCTGAATAAGGCTACAGTTTGAATGACAACACAAGCAAGGATATGCACCTAAAGGATCACATGGGTCTTCAACAAAGCCAATGGATATAGGTGTGAAAATCTGTATATGGAGCAGAATGAACCATGAACTAAATAAATTCAGCAATGAAATATTACAGAGGTTAGACAGCAATGTAAAAAGATGGCAGACCAAGGGTGGGGGGTGGTGGAGGAGAGAAGGATGCAGTACTAGTAAAAAAAGGAAGTATGTTAAGAAGTAGAAGGAGGAGTTAACTTGGCAGAAATAGGAAGCTAGAAAAATTTTATTCCCACCATAGTCTGATCTAAGGAGAACAGTTCTTAGGAAAAAAAATATTAAAAAAAAATAAATTAAGACCTCAGAAGAGATCTGAGCTTCTTTGAGAATGGGAGTTGGAGAAAGTGATATATGAAGAGAATATGAGCGTTCATGATCTATTTAGGGACAAAACAGGCTTTCTAGACACTCTAATAGAAAAGGATTAAAAAGGAATGAATGAGTTTAGCAATAGTGACTAAAAAGAGGGTGAAAGGAAGTCAAAGACGAGGGAGAATCAAGGAGGTGATGATAAAAGGAAGAAGCATATTGAGGCACACAAAGGGGCAGAAAAACAGGATGGATGTGAGATCTGCACGTGAAGTGCTGACGGGAGAGTTGGAGGTGGGCAAATGAAGAGGAGCTCTGAAAATTGTAGAAGGGATGACATGAAACTATCAAATTAAATGAATGTCTGGATGGGAGATGCAGATGGCACTCTGAGTCACTGGTGTTTCAGTGTAGGAGAACACATGCAAGGACACATTGCCACACATAGTTCCACCTTTAAGATAACATGATTAATGGTCTCACATCAATTTGTCAAATTTCACATGAACATTTATGCAATTACTACTGCACTTTTTATATCTCAAATTTTAATACTTTTCTCATGTAAACTATTAAATTTCATTGTATGTTTGCACCAAATTTTGAAGCCACTGATCATACTGAATACACTGATCTTGATGGGGAGATAGGTCTGTTTTCATTGAGAAATTGGTTTTAATTAATATATGTTGTTTTGATTTTTTTTTTACACATAAACTCAGAATAAAACCAAAATCTCTCAAATCCTTACAGTTTCATCTTTGTCTGCAAGTATTAACTGGGTCATACTTGACTTAAGACATTAAAGAACCTGTGAAATCTCTTGCAAGAATTGACCAAACTACTTTACAAGGTTTTGTTTATATGATGAGTAGAAAACGAAGGTGTTTAAGAGGTAATAATACTATGGTACCTGGTGTGGGGAAGAGAATCTCTTTTCGTATGTCAGTCTATTCCCCTCAATGGAAAATCGGAAACCTTTCCTTTTGATGCTGTCCTCTGATTCAGATTTGTGAAATTCTTCCCCGTCCTTCTCCTCGCCTTCAGATTGTTCTTTCTGCTTTTTTTTCTTTCTTCTATTCCTTCTCTCTTTAGCACTTTTTGAGCTCAGTTTTGATGCCTCTGAAGAACTTTCGGAGAATCCACCTATTCCACCTACTCCACTATAATCTCTTGAGTCAGCTGCTGCAGCTGCTGCTGCTGCCTATACGTACAAGCACATATGCAATTTACAATATTTATACAAACATACACTATTTTAAATTTATTGCCATTCTTAAAAAAAAATAATGATTTTGAAATAAAAGCAATGATCCCACTTTATTAAACCCAGCATACCATAGGTAGAATTTGTGAAATACCACAGGACCCATAATTTGCCACTGCTCCATAAGCCATGAGTTAGAGCAACCCAAGGGAAAACTGCTGTCAAAGAATCAAGTTAACAAATATCTGTTTTACATTGGAGCAATATGTTGTAATGGGTTTTTCACATGAATTACTATGTAAAAGTAAGGAATCAAGGCTTGAACAGAAAAAAATGACAATTACAGGAAGCTACACTTGCTTACACCATTTTAGTGGATTTTGAATACTGTCTAGTCTATTAAAGGCCTGGTGTAACATTCTTAATCTCAGTTTTGCAAATCACAATCAGCAATTTGAGTTAAACTGCAGGCCATTAGAGACCTGTCGCTTTTTGAAGTTTCAGACATTTGTGGAGCACTTGATTAACATTTATTTACAAGTTTTGGTAAAAAATTCCCAGATACCAACTAACTAACCAAACAAGAAACTCCTATTGCTGACTAGTCATGTGCTTACATGGAAGACATAGTTCAGCTTCTGCTCTATGTGGCCACATGCCAAGCAGACATTATCAATTATCCTATTATAGATCTCAGAGTCTTCAAAAAATGAAAAGGAATTTCAAAGCAGTATGCAATCACGATGCCTGTACCACAGAAGCGTTTTCTCCAGTTTCTCCATTTTTTCTAGTTTTCTTTAAAATTGGAACACTGTGGCTTTTTGCTGTGAGAGCTGGGGAAGGAGCAGAAAAAGCCAAATGTTGCTGAAGCAAAATATTTCTCCCTATAATAGATTTGCTTCTGTTATTTAAATAAGCAGAATTCCTGGGGCTTTTTTCCCCACATCTCCATCTCCATTTCACAGAATCACAGAATGGCTGATTTTGGAAAGGAACCTCTGGAGGTCATCATGTCCAACTCCCCAGCACAGACAGGGTCACTTAAAGCAGGTTTCCCAGGACCATGTTCCAACGTTTTTTTATTATGTCCAAGGGTGGTGGTCCCACAAGCACTCTGAGCAACTTGTTCAAGGGCTCAGTAAAATGTTAATTTCCATCTCCAATTTAATAATCCAATATTTTAGCTTAGTGGTTGTAATTTTTGCCATAAATTAACAGGTTCACTCAAGCCAGCAGAAACGGAGCAATGGAAAACTCTAATGATTGCTTGCAAAGTGAAGGGATTTGTAAGACTGAAGGTAATAAATTGCTAGGAGTAGGGGAATAAGTATTCTTATATGTGGACATAACACATTTGATCACAATTACTAATGGAAGAAGGAATTCTACTTTACAGGGATACCTGAGCTTCCTCCTGTTGCTTTTTCAGTTGTTCCAGCATTTGCTGAAATTCTGCTTCTTTCTGTTCTGCTTCCTCCATGGTTGCTTGATTCTGTTCTTCATAGGCCATGGCAACCACAGCCAAGATCAAGTTAATCAGGTAGAAAGAACCCAGGAAAATGACCAAAACAAAAAATATCATGTATGTTTTCCCAGCAGCACGCAGTGTCTGGAGGAAAAGAGACAATGCACATTTTTAGCAAACTTTTAAATACTGTTGCATCTGTCTTATGGTCTAGAAATACATTATAAGATTGCTTTATGTTATAACAAGGTTATTTAGTTATTTTTTCCATCTATAAATAGTACTATATCCTGGCTACAAGTGCAAAAATCCAAGTTTTGTGTCTGGTATGGCCAAGGTAAATAACATTCTGTAGCTTGGATACCTCAGAACATCTACCAGTGAGAATCTGTATTAGTTGCTGTCCCCACTTTACATCTTTATATTATAGCTTTAAATCTAACAGTAGTGGGGCCACTAACCAACATCTTACCTTCTTGTTTCATCAGTCCCAAACTACAATGCCACAGAGACAGTGTGGTATACAAAATGTCATGCTGTACACCATCACTGTCCTTCGGGTTAAGGATATGTGTAGTTCAGGGACAAGATTTAACCTTTTCAATGACAATATACTTGTACTAGACTGCAGACCAATTTAGCTAGCATCTATTTAGAGCATGTCTGGCTCAGAAACTTTAACAACTTAAGTTCATTTACTCATTTGCGAAAAGAAAACATAATGCTCAACCACCTTAATGAAATAGCTGCTATTTCTTGGGAACCTAAATCATTAACAAGAGCCCTTTTGTTTTAGACCGCTTATATATATGAAATAAAAGATGATTTCTGTCCTAAATGCCTTAGGGACATGTGAATGAAAATAACTATACAAGTACTATGTAGTAATGGTATTGGTGATGGTGCTGTTTATTTTAGTAAGTCCTCACCAGCTGGTAAAGATTCTCCCAAAAGTCCTGAGTCATCAATCGAAACAGTGACAAGAATGCCCAACTGAATGTATCAAAACTTGTGTAGCCATAGTTGGGGTTTCTACCAGCTTTCACACATATATATCCTTCTGGACATTGACTACAAAAGAAGAGGAAATGCTATTTTTAACAACTACTCTAAATTACGATATGCTATAGTAAATCACAAAATTGTTCAGGAGTACCATTTGGTAATGAAATTATGAACAAGTAAAATTTTATTCTAAATATCTAAAAGAAAACTACACATCTTATTGCTTTTCAATTTTTAATTCAATTTCCTAATGACATTTCAATGTTTCAATAAATAACTAATAGTTGTCTACCCTTCCCCACAATTTGTCATTTCAACACATCTCCACTAGGATAAAAGAATGTTAACTAGCATGGCTCATGATAAACAGATACCAGCAAGCTGGCAGCAACATTCATGCACGTAGCATTCATGTGGTTACCTTTACAAAATTAGCCTAAGATGCTGACAAAAGTGCTTCAAAAGTGTAAACTCAAACCACATAGTTGATAGCTGTATCTCAGTCTAGCTTCAACTGAAAAATGTCATTAATTAGCAACTCTCTGGTACAGCTGATACTAGAGTTGACCACCTGAGCTATTCTAAGTAGCTGTTTTTTCTTGATGCATAATGAAAAATGACGATGGTTTTCTTACCCTGCATCTGAGCTATTGCCACACAGCAAAGCATCATTTTGGCCTTCCAAGAAGTAGAAATGACCTGTTTTTAAAAAGAAAAAAAAAAAAAAAAAAAAAAAAAAACAAACCAAAACCAAAGAAAAAAAAAAAGGTGATGAGAAAGACATCATTTATACATAATGAAAATTGAGCAATGATATAGACTTTAACACCTTTAACACTATAAAGAACTAAGCATAGCTAAAAAACAGTTTAACCTCAATATATAATGATTAGGAAAGAAAAAAGTATGGAAAATACTGTTTTGATAGGAAAATGACTTCCTACGGCATCTTGAAGTTGGCCTTTCTTTAGAAAATAGCAAGGTAGTTGTACAGCTAATTCTCAGTAACTTACCCAAATGACTAAAATACAATAGGTAGAATACCAAATTATGTATGTCAGCAAATGAGTGAACAAATATCAGGAAAACAAGACAAAAGATGAGGCTGATACCCTGCCTTTGTTCATGCATTTTGATATATGCCATTTAGTTTTATTCATTTATAACTATTAATTACTTGCTATTATATCAAAATATTACTTCAAAAAGTACTGACATTTTTTCAGCATGGAAAGATAATGCAACATGCACAAGAAATTGCTACCTGAATCTTGATTTGAGCAGCTGAGGAAGAAACCAAGCTTTTATTGTACATTACAAAAATTTACTAAACAAAATTCTGTAGCAGAGGAATGTACTTGAAGTGCCTACATATATTTTGTTAATAGGCTAACTATTAAAATGAGGTAAAATATGATTTAAAGAGATGGAAGTCTTAAAAGCCTCTGGCATATTCTTTTCTTTGTTCTGCTTTGAGGAAGTAAGGGAAAACCAATTTGCCACCAATTCCCAGTTTGGGATTCTTGGGGTAAAATGGGAATCTCTAGTGGAGATTTTTGGGTCAGGTGGCATATTAAGCTAACGTTGCCAGAATTAGGTATGTTCTGGCTGTTCCCAGGAAGCAGATGGTTCCTTGAGATTCACTGCCAGCTGGCATAGACTAGCTTAGCTGGCATGAACTAACTGAGGGCTAATGCTAAAGAGACAAGCAGGGAATTGCAACCAGTTCCTATTGACTGCTTCTACTCTGTCACCACCAGTATACCATAGAGACAGCATAAAATCTGCTTATTTTAAAGAGAGAGAGAGATTATGTGCATAATTTAGGCATCTGCAATACATTCTTGGGTATCAGATAAGAAAACAGTGGATTCTCAGACATTCTGGAACTCATATAGTCAAACTCTGTGAGAGATCTAAGCCCTACTTAAAAAGCATAAAGATGCAGATAGGCTACAAGCTGGATTTTAAAAATTGTCTGTAGGCCTAATTCATATTTTTATGTGACACAGTTCCTCCTCTGGTAAGCAGAGGATCCAGCTAAACCATCCAGTCAACTCAGCCCTTAGCCCACTATTTTAGAAAACATTTAAATAATGAATTTTTCAATAGAAAGATGATAAAGTAATAAAAATAGCTAATATGTGTTTGTAAAAAATATGCCATGTATTAAAACTATTCCTGTCTCCTGCCAAATTAATAACAGGACAACAGTCACACGTACAAGTCGTACACTTTCATAAGCAAATGAAGGACATATGTTCTGGCTGGAATCATCACAAAATACTTGAAAAAAGATTCTTGGAGGGCAGTTGCCAGTGGCTCAATGTCAGTTCATAAGGGCATCTTTCTGAAGATCCTCCAGGGCTCTGTGCTATACACAGTTTCCATGACAAGTTTCACTACCAACTCAAGACATGAAATAATAGAAAAAAATGCATCAAGTATTCTGAAGACATCAAGCTAGGAGAGAAGATGATTGAATTTCAGAATGACCTTTACAAACTGACAGGCTGGTCCAAAAGCAATTGGATTTATTTCAACAGAGACAAGAAGAAAATGCAACAACTGACAAGGCAAAATAAAATACGTAAATGCAAAACAGACAGGATCTGGCCACAGCCACTACTGTGCAAAAAGATGCAGTGACTGTCACAAACCACAAATTGGCTGTGAATCAACAATACAGTGCTGATACAAAAATTTTGCAATTTTGAGATGTTTTAATAGAAATGTTTCATATATGGCACATAAGGTAATTACTTCTAATTTGTACCTTTGCTAGAGGAGTAAAGTACAATTTGAGAATCTAATTAAAAAACCCAAACAAACATGGACAATAACAAAAACTACCCAAAATCCCAGACAAATTGGAAAGATTCCAGAAGAGGAAAAAAAAAGGCGAAAAGATGTAGAGAAAATGCAAAACAAAATAGGATTGCCTGATTTAGAAAAGACCAGAAATAAAGAAGATAATGGTTTTAAAGTATTATAAAAACTAATACAGTCTATGATTATCTTATTTCTAAATCCACAGGAGAAGCAGTAATATAGTCAATCTGAAATCAGGAAAATTTAGGTCAGATATTTAGAAAAATCTTTCTATTTGTATGCTGTAGTACCAGAAGCAGCTAAAAGGGAGTGGAATCTGTTTTCAGATATTTTTAAGAATATGTTATCAACCAAAATTTCCAAGATGACATTTCTATGATACTAGAAGTATGCTGAGATGCTAAGTATATTAAAAGATTGTAAGGCAATGAGACTTGAATCCAAAAGCATTTAGCTGTCAAACTGAGGTTCCCTAACTTTCAGTGGTACAGATATTAGTTACAAGACTTATGCAGCCTTTAGAAAAAAACTAAGATCATGCCTAATTATGAAGTTAAAACCCTAATTACAGTAAAATAAATAGGAAGTACTGAATAAATAGGAGATTCTGAAGCAATGTACTATTATGAATGACAGATTAGCAATCTACTATAGATACTTTCAGTATATTTAAAAAAAATTTCTTTTAAAACATTAATGACGTGAACTACCTAAAATGGTGAAAATACTGTATTATGAGGTAACATAGGAGACCAAAATGATTATTTCTTGATTTTCCACAGATAAGAAACAATGTAAAAGATACATAATATGGAATATAGTTCTTATTTTACTAGAGTAAGAAGCATGGGATAAATCACTAGTATTCTCATAAAGGCATGTCTGTGCTGTGCATGGGAGTGTGGTGTGAAGACCAAGTTCCAGAAGAAGCAATGCAGCTGCATTTACATGCTATAGCAGGATTCATGAGCTAACTGATGTTCAAATGGGGATTTATGATATTGGATATTATCTTGCACAAATGTAGCTATATGATTTCAGATCCCACATCAGGACAGTCACACTATATCAGGAGGCTCGAAGCTAGCACAGAAATTTCTGCTTTGTGCTGCAATGTGTTTTTACTCTGAAAGTCATATTCAGTAAAAGGTAAAAAGATATTTTGGTACCCAGTACAATACTGTAAGTATGTTAAACTATGTTATGACTGTTCTTTTCTTTGCTATACAAAATAAGCACTTTTATGTCTTTTGGACAGATTACACCATTTAAAATGCAATGAAAAGATATTGATGCTTTTGTTTCTGTTAAAAAAAACTTACAGAAAATCAATGCAGTAGGTGATATAATTAACTCTTACTTTTGTCTTCGATGTATTCATCCCAGTTAAATGTTGTCATTGTCATATTAATAAACGTGCCATTTTCACCTATAGAACTATTAAAGTAGGAAATAACAGTTGTTTCAAAAGTAGAATTGTCTGGAGGCCACTGCAGGCATTTATTCCTCAAGTTGCCCATGAACAGCTGCAGACCTATTAGTGCAAACACACTCAGACAAAATACAGTCAGGATCATAACATCTGAGAGCTTCTTCACAGACTGAATTAGGGCGCCCACAATTGTCTTCAAGCCTGCAAAGAGAAAAGAATTTTATTATGGCATTAAGCAGATACAAAACACCAAAACAAAACAAAACAAAAACCAACCAACCAACCAAAAAACAAAAAAAAACCACACCACACCAACCCCCCCCCAAAAAAATGTATATAATGTGGTATTTCCTGACAAGATAAAGATTTCATGCAAAATGACAACTGAGTTGAATATTTTGTGATACAATAACTTTCATGAAAAGCCTTACTACTTGTGAAGATGAATGAAAAGCTGTAAGTTTATGCTTATTTTACAGTGTACAGAAATAAAAAGTAGGTAATACCAAACACATTGTTTATGCCAAAATAAGTGATTTTCTTATTCATGCTATATCTCAACCCTATGTAGAAAAGCATCATTTGCTTTTGCTGATGCTTCTTGCCCAAACCTTTCTTAAATGAACCTTTTAAATATTCTGCGTTAGTAAACCCATTATAAAGACATTGTAAGTGCATATTTGAATGATATAACAATAATCTTACAATATAAGAGGGGTGATGGTTTGGAGAAGAAAGACATCTTTAAAACAATACCCCATGCATGGCCCATGCTATCCTTTAATTTTTCATACATGACTTAAAACTGAATTAAGTTGCTATATCAAGTGCCTGCAATAAATGATAAAATTTGCATCAATATGAAAGCTTAAAATTGACATTTAAAACATGTACAGGAAAGCTTGATGTCATCAGATGCAAATCACATAGGCTGTTTACTGCAAATATCTCATGCAAGAATTTGTTAAACTCAAAGGCTGATTTTTTTTTTTGAGAGAGAAAAATACCACTAATACAAGCAAGAATCAGTTTAAGTAAAATTACATGCCTTGATTCCTGCATTTTTTGTTAAAAATGTGTAGCAAACAAGGCTTATGCTTTAAAAACATGAGTATAGCCTTTGCAGAACAAAAGTCAGCCTCAGTGTTTAACCTAGCTCTCACCTGGAATGACTGATATTGTTTTCAAAGCTCGGAGAACTCTGAATGTTCTCAACGCTGAGACATTGCCCAGGTCCACAAACTCTGTCACATATCTGTAATAGGGGAGTTCACACACAAACACAATGACAGCACACAAATAACAGTTGGAGATATGAGGGGCCTAACACCTTACACCAACTACTTCTTACCTGGAATTACAGAAATAGTTTTCAAAGCTCTCAATACTCTGAAAGTTCGAAGAGCTGAAACATTGCCTAGGTTTACAAATTCTGTTACATACCTGTAGGATTAAATCACAGTTACTCAGAATTGAGGCAGATTTTATCCTAAGTGCTTGGGTCTTTGATAAAGACCTCTTCACCGTTCACTGTATTTTGCCTGTGTTATAAATATGCTTCTGACCACAAATTTAAATTAATTTTAATAAAAATTAGCCAAATTAACTTGACGTTTGAAATTTCATCATCTTATAGCAGGAAGTCAAAAGGATTCCTTTTATTCTGGTATGCAGAAAGGAGACAGGATGTGAACAGTTCAGGCTGATGGCATTCACAATCCTAATGGGCTGGCACACTATACTGGCCTCTGCAGCACATGGTTAGTTAGAAATACTAAAATGTGTAAAAGAGGTAGAAGAAACATATTGAAACCGCAGGAAGTCCAGGCTCCAAATGTTCTGGCTGACAAAATATGAGGCAATTTTTAGTCACTAATTTCATGCTAGCAGGAACATTTTTTTCTATAAAAAAAAAAAGGTAGAAGACTTACGCAAATGTAATGACAGTGAAATCTAGCCAGTTCCATGGGTCTCGAAGAAATGTAAAATCTTCTAGACAGAAGCCCCTTGCAAGAATTTTAATAAGTGATTCAAAGGTATAAATTCCAGTGAAAGTGTATCTGAGGAAAATATGCAAGACAGAGTTTATAGAAACACAGGCATTAACTTTACATATTTTGCTCTCAAGTTGCTTTATTCTCATTTTCTTCTCTTTAAGTGACATAAGAATTTAATGGAAGTTACAAGCAAATTTAATCATCTGCAGAATTTGTACCATAAGGAAGGAGGAATGAATTGATTATTGAAAGACTAAATGACAACCCATAGCTTAAGTTCACATTCTATAATCTACACCAAAAAAAAACAGTTGCAAAATTCCCAGTTGTTTATTGTTCCCCATGTGTATGTCCAGTCTGAATCCATGTTAAAATATACAGATGGGTTACAGAAATTAGGATTTCAGAAGTTGCTTCCAGACTACAAAGGTATTTCTTCAGTGTTATTTTTATGCTGAAGTACTGCTTAGTACCATGAGCTGGGAATACACCGTCATCAGTCCTCACTGACTTGGTTACAGAGTAGGTGTACCAAGTACTTCACCTTCAGCAAGACAGGCATGGTACTGGAATTAAACAAGTGTTTTCAAATGCAAAATCCTGTGCAGAACAACCAGAAATATTTACAACTGCCAATAAAATTCAGCTACTCACTTTGACAAAAAACTCTAGTTGAAATGTAAAATTACTTAATTCTGGCATTCTGAATAATTTCAATTTTCTATCTCTAAATTAGGTCATCTTGAAATTGTGTTTAATTTATATTTTTAATAGCAAAGAATCCAGGTAAAATTGCTTGAACTGGTTTTCAGATTTGAGTCATCCTGAAATCAGTTTTCCAAAATTTTTTCAGATAAATTTCTGAAAATTTTCTTTCCTGCACAACTTAGCTCAACAGGGGACTTCTGTTGCATATCTAAATGGCACAATATGATGATATGAAGAAATATTCAGGCTAGCTATCTTTACTCATGAATATTTACTATATGCTAGACATCCTGAATACATACACGTTCATACTGAACTCAAAATGAGAATGCCTCCACTGACTCCAACCTCCTGTGATTTCACTTTTGATCACTAAAGATTAAACAGTTACATATCATCCAAAGCAGTTAGGAATGAAGAAGAAGCAGAAGCATAATATGCTATTGCAAAAAAAATGAAGCACCATGAAGAACTGTTTCACACTTGGACTACAGCCTTGGAACTATCACAAAACATGCACCAAATGTATACCAGCATCAAGTTGTTGGCGTATTTGACCTTTTCTCTTCCTATAGCAAGATCAGCCAACCACCTAAACACTTTTCTAATAGCTTATTTTTCATACAAGCTTTCCGTTGTTAGATTGTCTTTGGTGAAGGAAGGCTGCACTATGGTGAACACAGGCATCCATTAGACAATCCTTTTATCTGCAATGGTTATTGCAGGAGAGATGGAAGAGTGTATTTCTCCACATTTTTGCATGGATATAACGTCAAATGCCTTGGAAAATATTTATAATCTATTTTTTGCTTGGTCAGAAGACTAGCTTGTCGTCTTACATTCCCCATCTAGTACTGCAAACAGAGGATGGACACTGAACAACTTGTAATGAGGCAAGTGGTGTAAAATATATGTATTTAATACTACAAATTAGAAAGTAGCATCAGAATAGCTGTTGAAAGGATATCCCAACAAAGTAGCTGCTGCCAGTGGATGCCATCCTAATACAAAATCATCTACAGCAGTTTATTTCAGAGTACTGAATATTATTCAAAGAAAATCCATTTAACTTACTCTACATTCTTTGTCCAGTCTGGAGGGTTACTCATGGTCATAAATACACAGTTGGTCAAAATAGTGCACATGATAAGCATGCTGAATAATGTAGGTAAAGAGTTAAGGAATGTAAGCCAGAAAATCTCATTAAAAGAGTATCAAATAACACTGCTTTGGCAAATTTCCAGTATCGGGAGCTATTTATCCCTCCACTGCTCTGGTACCACTCAAAAAAAAGCTGTAAATATGTTAAAGATTTCACAGTCACTGCTTTATAGCTAAAAGAGAACAATCACATAATTAAAAAAACAAAAACTGAAATACATATAAAACCCCCAGCCCTTAATTTTAAGACCTTAGATGTTTTTTTTTTATTCTGAATAAAAACATGAAAGCTTGAAGTAGCAGCTTCCAGTTTAGAGGAATAACACAGAAAGAATTTGTTTTGGATGATCTAGACAAATCTGATCTATTGCATGCATACAACCTAGTGAAAAATAAATTTTCTTCACCTTTCTAATTTTATGTTTCACCATAGAATTTGGCATGTATCAACATTTTTGCTTACTATAGTACATATTTTGAAAGCTAGTTATCACATAGTAGGAGAGAGCATAGGGAAATTTTAGGGAGAAAAATATTGTTTTATATAGGTTTTGAAATATGAATGTTACTGGAGGGGAAGGCATAGTCAAAAAAAGCCAACCATTCCGAAACAGGTACAAAAATATTTCATTGATTTTAACAGAACTGTTCTGGATCTAAAACCTTTCAGGACTGATGACATTCTTTGTAGAAAATGGCAATGAACACCAAATGAAAACCACAAGGATGATGCCCCAAATGACCACATGATGGCACCATCACCTAAAACTAGAAAGAGGACAATACTCGATTTTGAGAAGAGCTTCAGCTTCTGTAACTAGGTTCACATGGTGCTCCTAAATAGAAATCCGAGTATAATGGGGTGGGAAGTACTGTGAGGTTTCCCTCTTTGCATGTCTACATCAACTGAAAAAACTTCAAGAGACAGTAACTACCTCTGCCTTTTGAACTGTCAAACAATCGTGGCTTCACGTTCATCAATTCTTCAGGTTTTCTGCTCAGTAAATATATTTCACATCCATTACTCATAATCTAGCTTCTCACTATGTAATTCATACATGAATAGAGCAGAAGAGAATGAAAGGTATTTCTAAAAACATAATAGGTAACATCTTATGAGAGTGTTTCACAATCCTGGGCTTTTCATAGGCTTTCAAAATCCTCTTGATTTAACATCCTCTCAGAGTTGCAAATCCTCACTATTCTTTCATCAGTGGAGAAATAACTTGAATATATTTTCCCACAATTTTAAATGTTTTCTAACATTCTGACTTCAATCAATCTAGCTCTTCATCACCATCTCAGTCCCATGATTTTCCATTATTCCATGTAATAATGTTCTATAACATGCTCACGAGTGTCATGTAACTGACAAATAATCGCATGTAGTAGCACCTGTAGCAAGATACAAAATAGGTTATGTAGTGTCATGATTGATTCTGAAGTTATTTTCAAGCTAGCCATAGATAACAACATTCAACACAACCATTGCAATTACCAGACTTCCATCATACCAAGAATGAAAAAAAAATCCTTTCATTATTCATTCTACATTATCTTAGGATCACTATATGCAATGCTACACACAAAACTACTTCCAGTGTGCTTATGTTAAGACTTGTAAAATCTAATTGTGCAAACATCTGCATTTGTTCCTCAAGTAAGTAGACTTGCTGAAGTCAATGTCCTGATTGCTCATAACAGCATCTGGGATCAGAGCAGTGGGATGCCTACTACAGTCAGCTATCAAAACACTGAAAAAAAACAAAATAATAGATAAGTCATCATGATCATTTAGCTTTGCAAATACCTACCTGCAATATGGAAATCTCATGACCTACTTGAAGACTGGAATTAAAACATCTACAGGATTACAAGTGCATAATGCAATAATGATCCAGGAAGAAAATAGATAAGATACATATAGCATGGAGAATGTATAATAATAAAACAAGAAACCTAAGCTCTTTTATCAACCTATCCTTCTGCAACTGTGATCTGAATCAGAAAATGAAAAAGAATAATGAAACCGTATTTTCACTAAATATTTGTGCAAGCAGAAACCTGGGATCAAAGATTTGATTTTTAACACAGTGTCAGTTAAGAACTGGAAATATTTTGAGCACTGTATCTGCAGTTTATGAAAAACATGGGGGATGGGGAAAATGAAAAAAGATGTGATGATTACAGGAAAAATAGGAGGGAAAAAAAAATCTAAAGCAGGTGGTGGAAGAAAAAAAGACACAAGAAAAAAATGTATAGGACCATGACTGGTTGTCTGGTTTCTGATATTACTATATTAAGATCCAGCAATGAAAATAAATGTAAAAAGTGAATCAGAAAAAGAACAGAAGACAGAAATAATAGAGAGAAGAGGGACAGAGCGTTATAGATCATATTAATCCTGGGACACATGCCAGAGAATCATTTAAATACTAAGTAACATCTCATTTACTAAAGTTTTAGACTAACCACTTGAAAAGGATATGAATGTACCAAAATCTTAATAGCTATTTTTCTAAGAGGGTTGAAAGGAGTTAACATGTACAGGGCAGAGGTGGCACTGAATCGGAATATTGCCTTCCCTTTATTCAATACTATAAAGGTCTGGAAAAAGAAACAGAATGAAAAATAGTATTTAAAAGATAATCAAGTTACAAACAAGTTACAAGTTCAAACCCAGAATCATTTTAATTTCATCATTAATCATATTTGGTCAAACTCTTCTTCCATTTGCACCTCCCCCAGGATCACAATCCCCTTGTCCAGTTCACACATTTTAGAGTCCAGCCAAATCACTATAATTGCAGTGAGAGCCATTAAAGCTTCAACATTCCCCAAATCAAATAACCAGCATTAATTATCACATCAAAGTACTAAGACAATAGTACTACAGTGATCTAAATTTCAAGAGTGGTCTCATGAAAATAAACAAATTGAGTGTTCAATAACCAGTTTTTCAAAATAACACTAATGCACTGAGTTTCTGCTGTACTTGAACACACTGCTTCTCTTTTCAGCTATTTCTTGTGAATTTCATACCTGCAATTCTATTTTTCTTATACCATGCTTTACTTTTACCTAATACAGAATTCAACAGTTCATATATTTTCAGTGTCCTCAGTTTCAGCAATAAGTTATGAGTACTACCAATGTTTAAAATAGCATTACTGGATTTAATATTTTTCTTTAGAGCTGGGAAATCAGAAGAATTTATCAATGAGTAAGTTTTAAAATTAGATTTACATGCATTTGTGGAAATTCCTATCTATTTCTGTCATCTCTGTTTTCTACACATGGGTGAAAGTTCATGCTCGCTGAACGTAAGTGGATCTAGCTAGCACTGTGGCAGCCCTAAAAAGCCCAAGGGAACATAAGCCATGCAAACCTGGAGCACAGCCAGTAGCCATGATTTGCCTCAGCTGGAACCAGAGGGCAGCATTTGTAAAGATACGTTCTACATTCTGAGCAGGTATGCTAAATACAGCAGCTGAAATCCTGAAAACACAATGCCTCCCCCTGACTGAAATAATAAATTTCAGCACTTCAAAACCAAATATATTTGCTTGATTCTCAAGCCATACTTTATTGTATGCCATGTCCTTTATTGTAGAGGAGAAAGGATTGGTCTGTAAGGTACGCTTTGCTACCATTGCTTTTCAACTCTGTTACTATTCTTCCAGGAGTTCAAGTAAATATGCCCTCAAATCAGAGTTTTCCATATGTTTTCTGTTCCTTTTAATCTGACAAAACATCTGATGAAGCATCACTTGTGCAATGCTGACTCATCAAGACATATAAAAAAATTAAAATGGAGCTGACCTAAACAAGGATGTTCAAAGATATTCAAACACCAAGAAAAATAAATATTATGACTGCAATGCATATATAGTTTGGCTATTTGGATATAGTCTTGTATCTCCTACTAGAAACCACTATGCTTTTGGAAAAGATCAAGACAACAGCTGAGCATTTCTCAGTCAGGAACATGCAATTCAGCAGGATTTTACTTCATGTCCACAGTCAATTTCAGAATTGCTTTCCATTTTTCAAAGCATGATAATACATGTGCTAACTTTAGAATTCCCAGCACTGAATTTAGATTTTTACTACTGAATTTGGATTTGTACAGAACTCGGAAAGAAAGATGGAAAGGGATCAGTACTTTGACCCACATTCCATTTGCCTTACATCCAGACTTCAACTGGGTAAATCACTTGAGTAAAAGGGAAGAGAACACAGTATGTAATTGGAAACCTTGTTTTCAAATTTAACTCATGATTCTCCATGTCATGAATTCAGTGTCAGAAATTCTGCAATGGACATTTAAGGTATAACTGATTTTTTTTAAGCTGCCCATTTATCATGGGATGCCTGTATTGTTATTGTTTCAATATAATAGTGATGAGGCATAGCCCTAATTCCTGCAGGATATGTACACAAATATTGGTATTATTACTTAGTTCAAGTTTGACTCCTAGCAATTCTTGGGGGTTTTCATCCTTTTCCTTTAAAGTATTTTTTTGCTTTCATGCTCTTTTGTTTTTTTTGGTTTGGTTTGTTGGGTTTTGTTTTGGTTTTTTAATTTGCCATTTAATTTGCTCAGGAAAGAAAAGAAAGCACAAGAAAAAATTTATGAAGACAGATAAATAAATAAAATATCAGTAATTTCTTCTTTACTGGCAGAATAGTGAGGGTGCGATACATATGATGCCAAAACCTGAGGGACTGGAATTCTGGAGGAAAGCCAAGGCCATCTGGTCAAAAGTCTTAAGTTCAGCACTTTTATTCTTGGTCACAACAATTTTTGCTGTTACTTTAAACAAAAATAAGTGGTTGGTTTTGTTTTTTTTAAACTGTATAAAATAATTTCAAAATTACATAACATTCTGTCAACACTCCAAGAGGAATTCCTACCTCCTCCCTATTTATGTCCAACTTTTAAACACCTCCTCTTTTATAACAGTCACAGAATAATATTAAACTGGATATGAAAAATTTTTCACCCAGACTAAGTCAGATATATATCATACCTCTGCAGAGTATAAAATGGAAGAGAATGATCTTCAGCATATCCTGAGAAATGCCTTTATCTACTTCCCTATTATTCCCAGCAACAAGAGAAAGCAACCTAGGCTTTCCACGTAACAGTGGAGAAAGCTAGGGAAGTGTCTAGCTACCTTTGAGATGGGCTTCATAGCGAAGATCTGTTCCTTTCAAGTCTGTAGTATGGCAGTTAATAAAATAATAATTCTAAAGATAACCCCTCTGCTACTTCTTCAGTTCTCTTGCGTGTAAAATACTGAAAGTTAAAAGCTTTAATAAAATGCCAAGTATAATAAAATAAACCTAAATGCATGTCTACCCACAGATCAGTTAGTAACTTTAATTACTAACTTCTGTTCTTACAATGGAGATTTCTGCCAATGAAAGCAGCTGCTGGGGGAATGTATTATATGTAAAAAATGGGTCCAAAATACTGGAAATACTATATCTGTGAGAGGGTTCCTTGTATTTTAGTATTTTTAAAGTCTGGTAGAAATATACAACACACTCACTTTTTTATTGATATAATATGGGTCCAGGTCTTCCAAGGGCTCAGACACCATTCCTGGAGGTATGTCGCCATAGATAAATGGCAGTGTCTTTCCTGCCTCCAAGTCGCTATTTGGCTTTGGGCCATCTTCATCATCATCATCTTTGCGTTCTTGTTTAGATTTCTTAGCTTTTTCTTCATTGACACGCTGCTCAATAGCTGCAAGTGATTCTCTTGTGAAATAGCGGAAGCTGTCAGGTCCTGGTGGTACCAGCACTGATTGTGCCATCTTTTCATCCTGCACCTCTTAATTACTGTTTAGCCTCTCTCATAAAAAAGTGCTAAAAATATAAAAAACAAAGAAAGAAATCAGAGCAACACAAATAGCTACAATATACCTTCACAGAATTTTCTGTAGGACATCTTGTTATTCAGTAATTATTATCCAAGAGGAGGCTGCAATGAAAAGGATTTTTTTTTGTTTTATTCAAGACAAACCATTTTCCTTTGAAAATGGTCTCAGAGTTGTCTTGAAGGTACCAATTCTTAAAACATTTAGTTTAAAATTTACTTAGTGCTTGTGATGATAGACAACTGTACAGACTGTATTAAAAAAAAGTCACATACAGTACAGTAACATCTTGCCTTTATCAATGATAATGTATCTGTTCCAGTGAATAAAGTAGGAGATCTTTTACACCACATTCAGTGTGAGGAATCAACAGTTCTGAAATGTTTCTAGTTTGGTGTTGAGACGTGAGACTCCAGACAATTCACCTCCTTATAGTCCTGAAAGCTGCACCTTGGATTAATCCTCCCTCTAGCTACAGGGCCAGAAATGACTCCTAGAACCCACTACTGCCATGTAAGGCCAGACAGATCAGTTGAAAGCAATGTGAGATGCTCCTTCTCTTCAGGTACAAATATGTAGCCTTTGCAGAGCTGCCAGCTCAGGAAACAAGATTCAGGTATAAGCACCTGCATTCAGATCTCCTGCCTGGCAACACATTGTGCACTGGAAGAATTGCTGAATTAAACAAAAATGCTCTTTAAATCGTTACATACTGCACTTAGGTCTTTTACATCTGAATCTATATACAGTTATATATATATGTTTTTCACAATTTCAACAAACAAGAACAGAAAGATCTCTTCTAAATGTGTCCAGTTAAAAAAAAAAAAAGGTGGAAAATATTCCTGATATAAATACTTTGATCTGAAATAATAAATGGGATCTCAGACATAGCCCAAGAATTTTCTTCTCAAGTAAGCACATTAAAAATTCAACAAATGCAATAAAAAAGTAACAACTTCCGAGTAAGAAAATATGCCCAGAAACAATTATCAAATTAAAATGATACAATAGTTAAATATAATCGGCATGATCCTGTTTTACTGTCTGCTAAATACACATACTCCAGCACAGCTGCAACAAATGCATATTTCTGAGGCATGCTAAATAAACAGCAACACAATGCTTTCTCCTCCTTTCCCACCCTATGCACATAGTCATTTATACCTACACAGACACCCACATGCATCCCAACTCCTGCAGGTCTCCCTATGAACATGCTCTTCCATTGCAGGCAAATGCACCTGGTGCATTCCACCATGGACGGTCTGTAACGAACTGCTGCTGGAAGCTGCACTGACTAGGAGCAGCAAAGGGTTAATTAGCAACCTGAAAGTGGTCCTGCAGTAGAATCCTGTTACATTTTATTGTTAACTAGAGGAGGGGGAGAAAAAAAGGCATAATCCTGTTTTAATATTGCAGGAAACAATTAAAAATTCATTACCAGTGAAGAATCTTGCACTTATGTGGGTTTGGAATGGCACCAAGGAAGGCTGCAGCTAAAATTCCATCATGTCTTTTCCTTTTTTTTTTTTTTCCCTAAATTCTCCTCTACAGACCACACCTAACTTCCTGCTGAAGGATCCTGGTTATTGAAGTCAAAACTGGCATTTCCTGTGAAAATCTACTAAGTGCTGTAACTCTTACTGACACTAGATGGTACTAATATACATCCATAAATTCTTGCCGTTAAAGAATTTTTGCATGCTGAAACACTTACTTAAACTGAGACTCTGGGACTAAAATACACGATTTTATATAACCAGCCAGGTCTCAGGATTCTCAAAGATTCTTTTGAATATATAGCAACTACTGCTGATGAGACCATAGCTGTTAAAACTGCAAAGGTCACACAGAAATAAAGTAGGAGGGATAGCAAAGTAAGAGAAGTAGAAAAATGGAGGTTGCACAGGCAGTGTACACCAGAACAGTTGCTGAGACTGGTTTATCAACAGTCTGGGTTATTTAAAATCAAATTTTGTATCAGTTTTCTATAATAAATTTATACAATATACTTGATGTGTATTCTTCCAAAATTTGGGAAAGCTAGCAATGAGCGGGAAGGATGGTGGTCTGGAGTGTTCACTGCAGTGGTGAATTCCTGTACAGAAGTCACCCACAGTAGCAGGGAGCAAGACTAGATGATCAGGAGTGCTGTAAGCCCCTCCTTTGTGGTGAATCAATAAGACATAACCTTTGGGGATCACTGCACTGAAATGCCATCCTACTTCCTTCCACTCTCCTGCTTTCTCCGTATTTTCTATGCTTATTGATTTTCAGGCTTTTTCTCCTGCTGCACTAATGAAGCTTTTCAGCCTCCTTCCCCACCATTGGCATTCTGCTCTTCTCTCCTTCTCTCACACATACCCAATCGCTTTCAAACTTTTCAAGCAACACATTCCAATCTATAGATTCAGCTGTTCAAGCAGTCCCTCTGCCATCTCCCTTCTTTCAGCTGTGAAGGGTACTAAAGAAGCTGTGGAGAGTAATAAAAAGCAAAGGGTCATTCCAAAGTGAAAAAGGTTGGAGAAGGAAAGAACACAGTAGCTGAAGAAATGCCACTGTGGCTTTGAAAAAAAGACAATGAAGAGAGGGACAAATACTGATAAATTGTTTCTTTGGTAATAGTGGTGAGAGAATGAACAGTCTGCATCAAAACAGTGGTTTTGAAATTTTCAACAACTAAGAAAAAATGTGTTGAATGAGAAATATAACCATTAAAAGCACTGATTTGGGTTTTAACCATTTAAACATTACACAGTATTTTTAAATAATTTTAAAAGCCTTTCTAGAAAAGTCTTCCTAGAAAAGTTGCTAGGTTTTTCTAATTTCACAAATGATTCAATGAGATCAATAGAAATCTTGCAAACAATTCTGTGTAACATATTTTTTTCTTGGTGTTACATAGCTCTGGATGAAAACTTCTGACTGGGCCTAATTAGGACTGTGGTTTACCTGGAGCTGCTCTGCAGTCTCAAAGTAAGAAAATGATGAGACAGGACAGATTTACAGGAGCTTCTAACTACAAAAGTATTTTGATTATTTATACATGTGAATACATATATATGTGTTTATGCAGCTGCTTATTAAAGTTACAGTAAAACAAGTACCTGAAAAACTGGGCTAATTCACACGATACGGAAAAGGAGCCTGATGCTGCTGTTAATAGTATATTAAGTTAAAATGTCTGATTATCTGTTTCTTATTGCATAGGTCTAAAATGATCTGAGATCCCAAACTGATTTCCAACAGTGCTTTATAATTCACATTCATAGTGTTAGGAAGGACAGTGCAAAGTAGAGACGAAAAGGAAACAGCCAGTGGGACATTGTGTCCCATTGCCTTAGATGCTTGGGTCTACAGTTTTACAAGGCTGTAAGTTGAAAAGAACACGTATTCTAGAGAGACAGCATAGACAGGAAATTCAATATGATCTTTGCAGTCTAAAAAGAGAAATATATATACTTCTAAAGAGGAGATCACTGTAGTACACCTAGAGAAGCTAGTAATAATTCTTAAAATAAATAGATGATACATAGCTATAGTAAATGTAGCAGATAAAATCAGAAGAGACAGGAGATCAAATCAAACAGTAAATTGCAATCAGAAACCAGTCCAACATAACCTATTAAAAACTACTGATTAAACATGGTCACAATTTGCCTAAACATGGAAAGTTTTCACAATAATAAGAATTTTTAAGAATTCTGGTAGCAGGTAACTTCTGACTGTTGTCTAGCTTCTTACCTATACCCATGAATACATTTTATGTATCATCAGTGGTATCCACTTTCCCACTATTATGGCACATATGAAAGCTTGAAGTGGACTTTGTCTTTTAATTATTTGGCAAAACACTCATGGCCCATATAAAGGGTACAGTTGAAGAAGTGTGCAGTGTCATATGTAAAGAAATTGCATGAGGGTGAATGATTTTTGACAGGACAGAGCTGAGAAAAACTTGTGAGTCTTTTCCTGGCTGTCTACGAGCCCTTCATCTACAGGCACTCCTGATTAATAAAATCAGAAGGAAAACAGATTACCAGCTTCTCCTCAGAAATCTGTAAGAATTAACTGTCTTTGTTCAATGTTAAAGGAGAGCACTAAAACGCACAAGTGGCAACTTGCCGTCATTCTGTGGTTCTGTGATCCTTTCACTCTCCAGCTGTGTGTTCCTGTACTGTATTAAATTGTCCCTAAGTGCATGACTTTTCATTTATGGCTCTGAATTTCATCTCGTTCCAGTAACACCAGTCATCAAGCTCATCTAGTTCTTTCTCTATAATAGCTTGCTTGTTCTTTGACAATGCCTCCCAACTTTCTGATAGGAGCAAATTACATTGGCATATCTCTCCTTTTCTTTGCTGAAACAATTAATTACATTTTAAATGAGATCTGTCCCAAAATTATAATTACGATGGGCAACTTGGACCCAAGTGTAAGTTACTGTGGTATTTGCTGTAGCTTGCAAAATACATTAATACTACTCCAAAAACTTTAATCTTGAAAAATTCTGAAGTTTATGCTCTAAAATTAATTAGTATTTTTTTAATTTAAAGAGCAAAAGGGGTAGAAGAGAGAAAAGGGAGCTTTTTCTTCTCCTAAGTATTATACATCTGATGTTTAAAATAGTATAGATTCAATCAAATATACTGAATCCAAAGAAATACGTATCGCCCCTTCTCCCCATGCCACTTAAAACACTGTACTACTAAATTATTCATGGTCATTCAGATGACTGAAAAACATGTTTGCTATCTTTGCAGATGACATGAAACGGGGCGGGCTACGGGTAAACAGGAGGGCAGTATTAGAATTTAAAATGTCCTGACAAATGGTCTCAAAAAATAATGCAATCCAAGAAACACAAATCCTACAGCCCTACATTTTATATAGAAGCAAAAATAACTAACTGAAAAATTACAGGACAAGGCAAAAAACCCCACTAATAGCTCTGTAGGAAAAGATCTATAGCACGTGCCACATCAC